TCTGGGAGGACGCATCTCTACGTCAGGTGGGAGGACGCGTGATGATATTCCTCGTTATTGTTTGGTATTGCTCGGTATTTGCTTGGTATTTCTCGTTCTTTAACACGATTTTAGTTCTGGGAGGACGCATCTCTACGTCAGGTGGGAGGACGCAATAATTATTCTACCAAAAGAAGGCTTAGAGTCTTGATGGTGCAATTAGGAATAGAACCTAACTTTTAGTGTGGTGCAAGAACAAATGGATAGGATAACAAGAAATCTATAGTGAGTGGGTAAATGCTTAGCTCAAGCAATTGCCCAATTTGGGCAGCACGCCAGCAGCAACTTTTTATGCAAATACCATGCCAGCACAGGATTTTGTCATATATAAGAAATAAAATCAAGCACCTGCTGCATTATATATAAATATATAGGAGAATTGCTTGGAGAGATGGACATGTCGGCACGAGTTTCTGTTCGTCTAACTATCTTTATATATATAAATTCTGGAAACCTAACTATATTTAGAAAGAATATTATGTTTAATAAACGTGAAGACAAGCAGCCTTCCCACAACTCAATTAGATAGGTCAAGCGTTTTAATAAAAGAACAGTGGTGCATTAGTCTACTATCTCGTTGATGAGAAGAAGATTTTTATTATTAGGATGGGATTGAATGTTAAATTAGAGGAAGAAAATATTGTTCGATGTTCAAATGTTCGATCGAAATTTTGTTTGAGAGTTGAATCGGATCGAATGAATCGTTTTAGCTCGACTGAAAGGAGAGGAGAGTTGTCGTTTCTTGCTCGCTGCTACAATGAGTTTGAACGTAGAAGTTCAATAGTTGGTTGTAAAACTAATTGATAGTTGAAATGAAATATTAAGAGGGGGATGATTTGGTGATTTCAAAACTTTTTCAAAAAATTGTTTGATTAAAAATCAAAATATGATTTTAATGCAAATAAACGAAATGACAACTCACAATAACAACCTAAAATAGATATTAATCTTTTTGTGTTTTTTTTTTAAGAAGCAAATAATTTTTTTTTTTTTTTTTTTTAACAAATATCAATCACAATCAATCATAATGATTTTTATTTCACATTGACAATCAGACCCAACTCAAATTGCTAAAAAATAAATATGCAGTAGAGTAAAACTGCATAAAGTAAATGTGAAAAAAGGAACCAAATCAATTTTTATAATAGTTCGATCAACTTGACTAAGTCCAATCTTAAAAGTCCCTCTCTTCGGGTATTACACTAATCAACAGTGACTCTCCTTCAGCCCAAGGCTAGGCAAAAAAGCCCGTACAGACTCTTCCCTCTCAAAGAATCTCTATTTTCACCTCATCGGTCCAATAAAGTCATTGAAATCCCTTTCACTTCCTCAATGATGTGGAGTAGTCATTGTCAGCCTTTGACACCAAAGGCTTCTTCACAGAGCTTTCTTCAAGACAAACACTAATATATCATGAGGAACTCAGGTGCAATTAGGCTAGACAACCATGTGAAGACCCTTTTCACACTCCTTTGAATCCTACAAGGCACTTCTCTCTCACACACAACCTCACCCTTTCCCTCATTTGCTCAATGCTCTCTCTTTAAACACACTCACAAAAGAAACAAACCTTTGACCATCAAAATATTACTCCAAAGTCATAATAAAAGTTTATTTAAAGGGCATCAAAACACACTAATTTTTCGATTTTGCCGCTTTTATTGATATAGTATGATACTCATAGAATAATCTCTCAAATAGATGCGGCTTTAAAGATTGTTTACATCTTATGTGAATGAAAATAAGAGTAGCCTTAGAAATACATTCATCGAAGAGCCCGAAAGTACCAAAGAAATTTGTCCTTATACTTCATCATGAGTATTGTATTTAATTTGGAAGCTACAAACCATCTAAATTCATTCATTTCATAACAAACATTTATTAAGTGATTATTTGGAACGGCTTTATTTATATTTTTTTATAAAGATGATCGTAAAATTATTATAAAATAACAACTTTTTTTAAAAATTTAGGGTTAAAATAATTTTCTAATATAAAAATTTCTTGAAAAAAAAAAATTTATAATTATAGCCTAGAAAACAAAGCAGTAAAAAAATTATCTCAAATAAAACCAACATATTAATATATACTATTTCATGTATTACTACAAAGTAACATTTCCTGCAAAGATATATTTTTTACCCAAATTTATAAGTAGAAGATCAGAAAGATAAATAAGGGACATCAAATCATTTGCATCCATCTCATATTTTATGATAATATAATAAAGTCTCCAAACTTATCTAAATTAACTCACCCTTTTATAAATTTTCTCTAATTTTGGCATCCAAGATTCAAACACCCATTTTATATGCCATTGAATCCTTACAGTAAAGAAGCCTTCTCTCATGCATCGGCCTGGAAAGAATAGAGGAAGCCTGGCCCTGGATAGAGAAAAACTTCTAAGCATATTTCTAACATAAATTAAAATTATTTTCAAAAACTAAGAGAAAAATAAAAATGAAAAGCATAAGGACCTGTCTGGGGCAGCTTTCTTACTGCTTTCAAAATTGACTTTCTAGAAAAAATTTTATATTAAAAAGCTGTTTTAGAAAACAGCCAAAAAACTATCCCAAACCAAACCTAAAAGCTTAGCTAAGTCTAGAGATTTGGGAGAGATAGATCCTCCTCTCAAATTGAGGATCAACTGTATCTTGGTATTTTCCTGCCGTATCTTTGATTATTGCAATAAAAATTAATGTATTTCTGATTTTCATTGGAGTTTGGAAGAATTTTCTCGTTGTTATTTTCGAAATTGATAGGATTTATTTGAAATCTTCAAATGTTTCCTATCACTCACCTTGGCCTATTGGTTGGGTGCTTTGACTACCAACCAAAAAACTCTTAGGTTCAAGTCTTGTATATGTGATGTGTGTATGAATTTATCTTAATTGACCTAAATGTTCCAAAAAAAATTACTAAACTTGCACGCCCTGAATAATAATTATTTGTACAATTGGCCCAGCCTTGACTGGATAAAATATCTTTTGTTTTTCTTATAGGCAACAAGGAAAGGAGGGCAATGGGAAACGCTTGCTTAAACTCCTTCCAACTTGTCCAGCATTTGTTTGCTAACTTTGCAACAGAAGCTCAAGAAGAATATCAAACTGTTTTGGTTCCATACAGGGAGATAATGTTGTCGAAAGTATAATATCATCTTTTGGCCCTTTCTGTAGATGTTACTGAGCCGATGAATATATATATAGAATTGATCATGTAATTTACATACATATGTAATCACATGTTATTTTATTTAGGGAATTTTTCATAGAAGATTCATATTTTATGAAAGATATCAACATAAAGATCAAACCATGCATGCTAAACGGTATGTGAGGCCTTGTTTACCGTTATATGCTTTTCTCTCTCTCTCTCTCTCTCTAAGCATCAAGCCATCAACTGTTATTGAAGTCAAACATCATTGGAAATTTAACAAGATGATGATCAATGTCACAATGAAAAACAATTTCAAGGCATCCTTGAAATTCTCAATGCTATATTCTTTTGGTATATGTTTTCAAATCTTTGGTCACTAAAATAGATAAATCCTCCTCTGAAGGGTTTCCATGGCTTATAATTAACCTTGTCAATCGCTAACCTATATTCTAAGCTCTAAGACAACCCTAAAATCATGCAAAATTTTAGGCCTAATACATTACCCACCTGCATCCTCTCCTTGCAAAACTTAAAGGATTAATGAAATGTTGGAGTTTTAACAAATGATAATTGATACATATAACAAATCAAGAATTACCTCACCTTGGACCCCTTTACGCAATCATAAAAAATAGCTGATTTTCATAAAACCAAACTTAACCAGCACCTCCCTCCTTTATCTTTTCATCCTAATCCTAAATTAACAATTAACCTTAGGCATTAAACCCTTGAACTAAAAACTATTTCTGTCCATTAGCTATAAGGAAGAAATGCAAAAAATAAAAATAAAATAAACAAGCATACAAATTCTCCATTTATCAAGCAATGTCTCTCTTTGCATCAAAAACTCATTCATTCATAGATGAGACTAAACAGTCATCATTTAAGGACTCCCCCGTTCTTAAATTGCAAGATAGGCATTTAGTAAAGACAGAGATAGAATGAGTAGATTTAGATTCAAATGATTGTTGTTGAAACTTGCAAGCACTGATCCACCCTTTCCCATCCTTGCATCAAATACTCAACAGGAAAGAAATACAAAATAGTTCCATTTCCTTTTCATAATCTATGACATGCTCGAATTGACAATTTTCCTTCAAAATCATTGGAGTTCCTGATTTCTTCTTTCCAAGGAACAGTTATAAGTCATTGAACAATTGTTGGCCGTAATTCTTTTAATTGTTGGCGGTGGTTGGAGTCGATAACAGCAGTGTATCGAGGTGGGTCAAGTAGACGATTTCACCATAAAATTTTTATTTTTATTTATATGTGAGGCAATAAGTGGAAGATGAAGATATGCGTAGGATTTTTTGGAATCTGTTAGACTAGTCCAATGGACCGGTCCAACCGGTCGACGGGACTGGCTTACGCCAATTGGGCGGAAATCTTCTGCCTCCAGGAAGAGCCACACGTTTCGGCCAGCTCAAGGGAGTCGAATATGAAGGATTTTGAAGGACGTTTAGGAGGGATATTGAATGTATGTACTTTTTAGGGATTTCCTTTTGGTTTGTATGCATTAAATAATTTATTTTCCTAGGGTTAGGGCATCTTGAATTTGGGCTGAATTTGGGATCTCTTAGGTTCAGGTTTTGGGCTCCACATTCGTCTAGAGATTAGGAGAGATCAATCATCCTCTCGAATAGAGGATCAATTGTATCTTGTTGTTTTTTTCTGTTCTACTTGATTCTTGCAATAAAATTACTGTTTTCTGGTTTTCTTTTGGAGTGTGGAAGAGTTTTCTCGCAGATTTTCTAAAATTGATAGAATTTACTTGAAATATTCAAGTGTTTCTATCAGAATCATTCTAACGATGAAGACCCATTAGCTTCACATTATGATTTAAATCATTTCAAGGAAACAAGAACGCCTCCCAATACATACAAGTTTTTAAATGACCACTGCAGCCCTAAAATTCTTGTATCAATCACCAATTCATTGTTAAATAAAGCTATTACCAAATTAATCTAGAATTGAAATTCTTGTATCAATCACCAACTTTGTACACATTTCAAAGAAAAAAAAAATATGATGAAAATGTAAAATGTACAGTTTATTTACTAACCAAATGAAAATTAGATTCATGAAATTGGGAATAAAACAATCCCCAGAATAATGAGATACAATAAAAGTGAAACAAAAGCAGTTTGACACCCTAGAAAAAGCAAAGCAGCTGCTTATTCAATCTTCTACTTTTAGTACAAAGGTAAAACACCTGATCCACATTTAGCACAGTACTATTAGTAAGTCCTTCATCACAACATAAGACTGCACTTTAGAAATCGTGAAAGAAAAGAAAACCTGAAAATAAAATCCAAATTAACCGAATATGTTAGCTCATTACAAATGATTAAAGCGATGCATTGAAGAGAATAGCAGATATATTGCAAATTCATCATATTTACATAAGTAATTTATAGCTATATAATATATTAAAAGAAACATAATTCAGGTTCTAGCAGGAGATAATTTCACAGCAAGTGTTCGGTTAATTAAAAAAGTGCACAAACATGCTTAAATAAAAACGAAATCAAACTATGAGCAGTATCTATAAATGTCCCTCGCACAAAGAACCCTCTACACACATTCACCTCATAGTGGAGGGGTGGAGCCTAGAACTTCCCCACAAAACATAACGCATAACTACCCATTATTTTAGAATTTATTTTGTCTGCCCAATTTATTAGAATACAAAGACTGCACATGAAATAACTTGAAACTCTCTTGCCTAGTAAACTTCAAAACCAGTGCATTTCCAGTGGAACTATAAGTGCACCATGTGGTTAATTGGTTCAAGTTTGCAAGTCCAAAACAAAATTCATTTTTGCGAGCAAACTAATACTTCGTTTGGTTACTAGGTAAATTTTTTAGAAGGTAGTTTTAAAAACATTAATTGAGTGAATGTAGGTTTCTAACGGAGAAGCAAATACCAAAAAGCTTTTGAAAACAGTAGAAAAATGAAGTTTTGTAAAAAACATTTTTACAAAAACGTCACATTCAAACAGCGACCCAAAAAAAAAAAATTGTCGTTTCAAAATAGAAAAAGCAAAATTAAGCCCTCTCAGACGAGGTCTAAGTTGTCTTCAAGATAATATGCCAGAACAACCATGCCTAGTAGTATATGTATTATGATAGAATATGCCCAGCAATGCACCACCATGTATCTCTGATAATGAATAAAATAGCAGACATTATGAAAAGAAATAGGAACGCGAGGAAACCTAGTTAGGAATGCAATCCTAATTTCGCTACCACAAGAAATTTCAATCACCATGCTGCCTGCTAAGCAGCCATCAACAAGCCAGTGGGAACTCTGTTACGAGCGGACCGGTCCCCTCTGGACCGGTCCGATGCTACTCTAGGCGGAAGCATCAAAAAGGGGCGGAACCCCCTGTGGACCCCACGGTTGCTTAAACTGATTTTGGGAGGGAGAATTTTGAATGAGGGGCCGTCTTAGGAAGTCCATTATTGTCCTTTATGATTAATTTGTATAATTAGAAGATTAGGGGGGAAAGAGAGGGCATCTTGAATTTGAATGAGAAGTTTGAGATCTCTTGGGGAGCTTGGGCTCTAGGGTTTGCTAGAGATTTGTGGAGAGTGGTTCTTCCTCTCGAATCGAAGAACGTTGTATCTTTCTTTGTTTTGCTTTGATTTCTAGTGAAATACAAGTCTTTTTCTTGTGTTTTTCTCTCTGATTTCGCTGTTTTCCTGTTGATTTCTACTGTGGACAGCAGTTTGCTGCTGTATTTTCACTGGTTTGGTTAGGAATACTTCAGAACTCAAGTACTTCCTATCAAACTCCCAAGAATTCAGCTTTCAGAAGATAAGGAAACAGAAGCACGCACAATCAAAGTAAAGTAATATCACCATATAGTGGTTGCTCAAATGACAAGGTAAAGCTTTCAGACAAAAATAAAATCACTCAATACAAGAACATCAAATAATTATTGCATATTATAGACTATTTATTAGGATGCATCGTGTAATCAGTTTAAATATATGCTAAATGTTCCATACCACACGGAGAAGATGGAAGTAATGACAGAATTTAATCTTCCACCCTTTCTAGAGGGAAAAGGATATACAATATGGATAACAAACAACTTAAATCATCCATAAAATTCATCATATGCAATGTGCTTAAAATTGACGGTCATATTTATCCTAGTTGACACACAAATTGTACAAGTTGAACCAATAAGATTGATGACTCGAACAATATCTTTCTAACTTCAACAATCTTCTATTTTTGATGTTCTGTTTCAATTTTGGTTTATTTGTGTAATCATGCTTGACGTTGGATTTTATAAATGATGTTTGTTTCTATAAAATCGGATTATAACCCTAATTTTATTTACCTGGAATGGTTCACTGTATGAATGGCTTGGTTTTGTTGGATGAGTTTATTTATTTTGCTATTAGTTTCAAATGAGCGAGCTCAGTGCCGCTTTGTGTGATTCAAGGCTCCACATTTTTTCCTATAAAAGATTCCTTGCGCGCACATGAGTCTCACCGGAGGGTTCCAGTCAGCATTTTTCCTAACAGTAATTCCTTGTGCATATAAGTCACATAGGGGGATTCCTTTCACATAAACATTCTGCATTCACAGGTCTGTGTAATTTTGGCTGTGGTTTCTATCCAAACATACACCATCTTTTGCGACCTTATGGAAATATGAAGAAAGGCGAGACTATCGTGATTAAGAGTTTTCTATAGTCATAAAAAGGATATCCTAAATCATGTATTAGACAGTTTTTTCTTGGTGAAAGTTTCAATATTTCAAAGACTTCATATTTTGTTAATATACAAATTTCTAAAAAGAACCCTAGAAAAAAAAATGTTAACATTTCATATAATTTATTAATGATGATTGCTGTAAAGAAATATAAAATTTAAAATTACATCTATCTAGTTAAATCAATAAGTACATAACTCAACACAACAAATATTTAAGTTAATCGGTTTAGTTTCTTTAAAAAGATTATATGTATGTTGAGGCATAATATATTTGTGTAATTTGCATGTTTTCAATTGTATTTATCATCTCATCATCAAAGAATCAGATATAAGTCATATTTAGTATCCATAATGATGCATACTAATGTTTTAGCATTTTTATTACTTTCCTCATATTATATCAATCATTTGTATGATTTGCATAAAAATATTTATTCATGATTTGTATGAAAATATTCATGAAAACTGATTGTTAATCATGAAATTTAAAACAAATGATAAAATAATGGTACATCCAAAACTTAAAAGGTTTCCTACAAGAGACTCCACAAAATTCAAGACTAGAAAGGTGGGGCCATATAAAATCATGCAATGCATTAGGACAAATTGAAAAGCTAAGAAGTTGTCGTACTAGTCAAGCCCATAATGTAAATAATGTGACTTTCTTTCATGAATCTTCTACCCAATGACTTAGATTCTTCTTTTATTTTATCTTCTTGTGAATTCATATCTAACACCATATCAAATAGTTCTATGTAACTTAATTTTTTAAGTTATCCTAGATGATGAAATTATGTGCAATACAGCGGTGAATTCCAAAGATATTGTCATAACAGACCTCTATGTGATGATTCATGAATTCCATTACAAGATGCACAATAATTATGCCTTGATTTTCCTGATGATATTAAATGCTTAATTGTAGTAAAATATTTCCAAGATGTGAGACCTTAATAGAAATTGAAGGTTTATGTTTGTCGAAATACAAATTATTCTTCTCAAGGTTTAGCAAATTATTATTTTAAACATGCTTTTTTAACTTTAGTTATTTTCCATTTTGTAGTTTTATTTTAATTTAGGTTTATTGTGTAATCATTCCTATGATGTTGGTTCCTATGATGATGAGATTCATTCCTAATTTTAATACCATAACTGCTTCAATGTGTAGGTGGTCAAATTAAATTTGATAGATTTAAGCTAATTTGTTTCAAATATTTATAAGCTTATAAGTTGGAAGGCTCAGTTATATTGGATAAGTTTAAACTATAATCTGATATGCTAAATGAATATCAAATGCTTAATTTTCAAAGTTGAAAATCTCCAAGCTAGGGAGTAATGGAAATATGAAGGTTTATGCTCATCAAAAGGTAAATCGTACAAATTGAGGGGAGCAAGCAAATTGTTGAGTTAAACAATGTCATTTAACTTTAGTTATTTTTCATTCCAAATTTTATCTCAATTTTCATTTATTATGCAATCATGCCTATGATGCTACCTCATATAAAGATGGGTTGTCTCCCCGCTTCTATTTCCATAGATTGATTCGGTATGTAGATGGCTCGAATAAGATGGATAAGTTTAATCTCATATGTTTCATTGTTAGTTTTATAGCGGCAAGTTCAATGATCTTTTTTGTGATTTCAAGTCTCATGGATTTTTTTGTGCATGCCTTGCACACACAAATTAAAGGGAGGGTTCTGTTTGTTGGTTTTTAATGCATGATTCCTTGTGCAAATGAGTGGCACTAGAGGGTTCCATTTGCATGAATCCTCAGGCACTAATTTGCATTATAGTTTTATCTTCTGACATCAAAGCACCATCTTTAACGATCTTATATAATTTTGAAAGCAATTAAATATTATGATTAAGGGTTTCCAACAATTATAAAAGGGATATCTACGGCATGTATTAAATAATTTTTTTCTCAACAATGTTTTCAAATTATATTAAGGATGTTAGCTTTTCTTATTATTATTTCATCAAGCATGATGCAATTGTGATCACCCATTTCCAGGAAAAGTCATATATTTTACCAGCGTAAGGCTTAGATTTCTTTATTTGGCAATATCATATCATGCACTTTTCATCTGCATAATTTAATATTAGTTTTTGATGCAAAAAAGATAAATGTTTGTGAACAACTTATATTCAACACTAAGACTTATGAGCTTGTTGGATGCAAATTTCTTCCAAGTATGGTGCAGACTACCAATTTATTGATGTGGAGCATGAATTTCCTCATTTATCAATCTTATATAATGTTCTTTTCCATATGCATAATTTAATATTAATGTTAATTGTGAAGGGTGGTTTGAAAAGCTCAAGTCAGCTTGATTGTTATTCATATTCAACTTGTTCAATAAGTAAATGATTCGAGATTGAACAAGATTATTCAATTTATTTATTAAACTAGTTGAACACAAACAAGAACATTTTCAATTAAGTTCAGCTCAATAAGAGCTTGATATAAAAAAAATTGCAATAAAATATATACATGTATATATGTATATATACAAATAAAGTTCAGTTTACTCCTACACCATAGCTTGATATACAAAAATTGCAATCAAATATACATAAATGTACATGTGTATATATAGTCATAAAATTCAGTTTATTTCTACATTGTATTATTAAAATCCATCAAACACACTTCAAAAAAATATGAAAAACATATATTTGAGGTCTTATGAATCACAAACTCTATTTTAAGCAAATTTATACATAAGTCATAATACTATTGATATATTTGATGGACATCAATTAAGTTTGTCGTCCGTGTTGGCATGATAATAAACAAAAATACAAATATGTTTCAGCTCATTAAGAAACTTGGGCACATTTGTGTTCGTCTTGATAATTAATGATCCAAACCAACAAAGTTTTATCCATTTATGGGCGGCTCTTTTACACCCACATTTATAAGTATGATTTATATTGGTCAAAATTATTACAACTAAATTTTCTGATTGTGGTGTGGTTGTTGATAAAAATATGATCAATATTTTTTCCAAATTTCTCAGGGAATTCCTGGTATCATTAAATTATTGTTTTTTATTGGATTCTTTGTGCTTTCAGGTTTTCATTAAAAAAAACAAGTAATTGTTTTAATTGGTGATATAAAGCTGTAAATTTCAAATTCTTTAGAGCGAGAACCTCATTCATCACAAAGAGAATGCTCTGCATTATTATATTTATACATCATAAAGCAAAACCTTATACCGAAAAAGAAGAGATTTGAAGCTTCTACATTGAGTTTAATGTCCCTCCCCACCTCAACTATATTCCATCAAATCAATAAACTAACTAGAAATAAAACAGTAAGCCACGAACAACTTGATTACATTTGTTGTTCATATCACCTTCAACCAATCCATGCTCTTTTATTGACTAGCAGAGTCCAAGGAACATTAAAAAGCTTGAAAGGAATTCGCATTCAACAAAAAATAAAATTATCATAAAAAACACAATTCTGAATGAAGGTAAGAAACTGCATACCTTCTTTCAAACCCTGAGCAACTGCACCTTGTTTGAGAAAGCAATCCCAATCCAGTCCCGATGAGCAGCAGACCATTGCATCTGGTTTATCTCTGCACCAGCCTGGTATGCAAGCACAGGATCAACCCCTTCAGGTGGTACAGTTGTTGGCATCTCCCAAATGAAAGCCTGCCCATCGTCCCCTGCAGAACAAAGATGGCGAGCACTCTGTGGCGCCCAAGCAACCGCATTTACACTTGCACGGTGTCTCTGCAACTCAGCCACAGGCACAGCAGGAGAGCGAATGTCAAGGACGACCACCTGATTACTGTCCATAAGGATGGTAGCCATGTATCTGACGTCCATCTTGTTCCAGGCGAGGCGGAGGAGAGGGGTATCGGGCCTGGGACTCTCGTAGACTATAGCGGAATGTTCTTTATCCCTAAGATCAAAGATTCGAACAGATCCGTCCGCTGAGACGGAGGCAAATACGGCAGCACCCCCCCAGGCGATGTCATAGACCTCCTTATCGTGGGCGATGAGCTGCGTCTCCACGACACCGCGCTCGATATCCCAAACAGTGCAGGTGGTGTCGATGCTGGAAGTTCCGATGCGTCGAGGTTCCGCCTGGTTCCAATCGAAGGAGGTGAGTGGCGAAGAGAACTCAGCGGACTTGCTGTTATTCAACACGGAGCAGAGCTCGACGGCGGATTCCTTCACGCGCCAGAGGCGGAGGAATTCGCCAGAGGAGGCGAGGAGGGATTGGGTTTGTCCAGGGAGTGGTTTAGGATGGAACATGAGCTTGGTAGGCGGGTACTGATGTTCAAAGAAGAGCTTGGGGTCGGATCGGAAGGTGAAAGTCTCTTCGTCGAAAGAGACGATATCGACACGGTTATTGAGTTCCTCAATGAAGCTACCGAGAGCGAGGCATGGGGAGGGCGAGGTGGTAGAGAAGGCCATGGCATAGATCGGGTGGGGGGAGTCGAAGGTGTATGTGTGATGGTTTTTAGGTTTAGGGTTCAAGGTCGAATCATGTGCCGCTAGGTTCTCCATCTGCTTTTTCGCCGACGAGGCCGAGGAATCTATCTCTGCTTCTTCGTCCAACCTGACTGAGGCAGCGCGCAGGACAATTAGGGCTTTCAATTCAATTGAGGGGGATTTGTTGAAGAAGGCAACCGACGTTGAACACCGTCTGACGGTCAAAGCCACGTGCGTGGTTGGTAATTGTAGCATACCGTAAAGCACGTCAAATGCTGTCGTTTTAAGGATTTAGGAATTTTGGTGGTGCGTGACATGCTCTTAAGGATTTGTTTAATTTTAAAAATTTTTATAATTGAAAAAGATATAAAGAGTCTCATAATAAATTTAAGAAAGTAATATGCAATGCAAAGACTTTACCTTTTAGTGATTTATTTAATAGATTATATACTAAGGAGGGAGAAAGATGTAAGAAGAGAATGTCCTTCAGAACAGGGGCTAACTACAGAGAGAAGTGAGCAGAGTAGATCAGGAGAAGTTTTTCATTTCATCCATAAAACCAGAGGTGAGCTACAATGTTTTATTTATAGGAAGAAGACACAGCAGAATATTCTTTCCGTTAGGATCTCGGCGCCTGTCTCCGTCAGGTGAGTGGAGCTGCTGCAGTCAGGTGGAAGGTGTCGTGGGCACATGATGATGGTTGCTTACAGCCCCCCGCAAACGCACCGTCGTTTGGGACGATGGTGAGTTTGGATCGAAGTTCTTGGAATCTGGTTACCGAGAGGGATTTGGTGAGAATGTCGGCCGGTTGATCGGCCGAGTGAATATGTTCGACGGAGATTTCTTTGGATCTGATGTGGTGGATGATGAAGTGATAATCTATCTCTATATGCTTGGTCCTTGCGTGGAATACAGGATTGTTTGCAAGGGTCATCGCTGAGATGTTATCGCAGAAGATGTTGGTGGGAGAGGTTTGAGCTGCGTCGAAGTCGACGAGGAGACGGCGGAGCCAGAGCACGTCTGAAGTTGCTGAGGCCAATGCCCTGTATTCGACCTCGATAGAGGATCGGGCGACCGTTACCTGCTTTTTAACTGACCAGGAGATTAGATTGTGTCCGAGGAAGGTACAAAAGCCGGAGATGGATTTCCGATCAGTCTGATCCGTGGCCCAGTCGGCGTCGACGTATGATTGAAGGATGAGTCTACTGCGAATAAGGGGAAGTCCGTAGGAGATGGTGCCTTTGATGTACCGGAGCAGACGCTTGAGTCGTTTGAGGTGTATGGGCTGAGGGTCATGCATATGTTGGCAGAGCTGATTCGTTGCGAAAGCTATGTCGGGTCGAGTTATAGTTAGATATTGCAACGATCCGGCGAGTTGTCTGTAGTGAGTGGGAGTAATGGACAAAGCTGCGGAGGCGGCCTCAAGGGAGAATGCCGTTGTAGAGGGGGTGAGTATAGGTTTGCAGTTGAGGAAGCCGCTAGAGTTGAGGATGTCGTGGGCGTATTGCTGTTGGTCGAGGAATATGCCGTTGGGCATGTGGGAGATTCTGATGCCCAGGAACAGCGAGAGAGGCTTCGGTTCCTTGAGGGAAAAGGTGTCCTGCAGCTTGGTGATGGTGTGCTGTATGGTTGGCTGATCGTTCCCGGTAATGAGCATGTCGTCGACGTAGATGAGAATGTAGGTCTGTGTGGACGCGGTTCTGTATAAGAGGAGCGCTGGATCCGATTTGCTGAAGCTGAAACCGACTGTCTGGAGGTGAGAAGTCAGTTTGCTGTACCACTGTCGTGGTGACTATTTTAGGCCATAGATGGCTTTGTGTAATTTGCATACATGGTTGGTACCCTGAGGCTGAGTCATGTAGACCTCCTCTTCCAAGTCACCGTGCAGGAATGTGTTGGTGACGTCGAGTTGGGTTATGGCCCAGGCTCGTTGGAGAGCAATGGTAAGCAAAATGCGAATGGTGGGGAGTTTGGCAACGGGACTGAAGGTATCATGAAAATGAATACCAGGCTGCTACTCATACCCCTTAGCGACGAGACGGGCCTTGTGCCTTGTGACGTTGCCTGATGAGTCCTGTTTGAGTTTGTAGGTCCATTTGCAGCCGAGAATTGGATGGCGAGGGGGAGCGGAAACTAAGGACTAGGTCCCCTGACGTTGGAGGGCGCGAAATTCCTCCAACATGGCAGCGCGCCAGTTGCTGGAAGTGGAGGCTTAGGTAAAAGTGGTAGGGGTGAATTGGTCGGAGGGAGTGGCGAGGAGATCAAGGATTTGTTTGGGTTTGACAATGCCGGATTTGAGACGCGTTTGCATCGGATGAGAGGGGGGAAGGGATGTTTGAGTAGGGTTGATGTCGGATGCGGGGGAAGGCAAGGGGAGTGGGAGAGTTGCTGCTGGTGGAACGTTGTAGAGTGGGTTGTGTCGGGAGAACTGTAATTGGAGGTGGTGGAGCGAAGTGGGTTGGAGGTAGTGGTTTTGGTGGGACAGATGTGGGGAGCAGAGTGAGGGGAGAGGGTAGAGAGATGGAAGGAGAGGGAGTGGTATCTGCTGGAGTGGTGTGAAAGGGAAATATATCTTTGTGGAAGACGACATGGCGAGAAATGTGGATTTGATTTGTGGAGGGGTTGAAGCATTTGTAGCCTTTGTGAGAGGGGGAATAACCGATGAATACACATTCGAGGGATCGGGGAGAGAGTTTGTTGGGTGCACTGTGCCGGAGCCAAGGAAAGCACAGGCAGCCAAAGGAGCGGAGATGGGTGTAGAGCGGTAGCGTGCTGTGGAGCATTTTATAGGGAATTTGGAGGTTGCAGGCTTTGGTGGGCAGGCGATTAATTAGGTAGTTTCTAGTGAGGATAACGTCGGCCCAGAACTTCTGCGGGAGATTGGCCGTTAGGAGTAGAGACTGAGCGGTGTCGAGGAGGTGGCGATGCTTCCTCTCGGCCACCCCGTTTTGTTCGGGGGTGTGAGGACAGCTGAGATGGTGGAGAATGCCATTTGTGGAGAGAAACTGAGCGAAGGCGGTGCTGGTGTATTCGCCACAGCCGTCGGAGCGAAGGACTTTGATATTCGAATTGTATTGTGTTTTAATGAAATTGTGAAAATGTTTGAATTTAGATAGAGCTTCCGATTTAGAGTTCATGAGGAAGAGCCAACAAAATCTCCTATAATCGGCTATGAACACGATATAATATTTAGATCCATTGATAGAGGTTAGGGGTGCTGGACCCCATACATCACTATGAACTAATAGAAACGGAGAGGTTACATTTAGTTGCCTAGGATAAAAGGGGACTTTATGGCTTTTAGCCATGTTACAAAACTTGCAGTATTCAGAGGAGGGATTGCAGGTAATGGAGGGTTCTAATTGTGCTAGTTTCCGTATGACGAAATGGTTGGGGTGGCTGAGGCGATGGTGCCAGACAGAGGAGTTGATTGTGCTGGATCGAAGCGCGGTGATGGAGGGAGGTTGATTGTGGCTGGACAGGGTGTAGAGGCCGTCGCGATAGCTACCACGGAGGAGCAGTTGGTTGTCCTAGAGGTCGAATATTTGAAAGCCACGAGAGTCGAAAGAAACAAAGCAATTATTGTCAGTTGTGAGCTTGTGAATGGAGAGCAAGTTATGGGAGAGAGAGGGAATGTGAAGTAGGTTGTGAAGATACAGCTTACGGTTGGAGTGGGGTAGGGGTAGGATGCCGTCGCCGGAGTTGTGGATGGGGAGCATGCTGCCATTTGCGATGGAAATCGAATCCGACCCTTGGTATGGGACTGAATGAAGTAAGTTGGTCATGTCAGAGGTTAGGTGGGAAGAGGCGCCCGAGTCTAGGACCCATTCGGTTGAAGAGGCTGGTGGTGTTTGGGTGAGCAGAGCACGAGGTGGCGTTGGTGTGTAGTTCAGGTTGCAGCGGTGCCAACATTGAGCGGCAAGGTGGCCGGGTTTGTTGCAGATCTGACAGGTTGGTCAAGGAGCCTTAGAGGAAGTGGTGTAGGTACGCTGAGATGAACCACGACGGTGGGGTGAGCGACTGGACTGAGGGGAACTCCTGCGACAACGGACAAGGCGAGGATTGCTGTAGAAGGCCGCATTGTCTTTGGGAAAATTGGAGTCCTTGAGAAGTTGGTTTTGGATGTTGATTTCCTCGCTGTAGAGAAGGGAGTAGAGGGCTTCGAGACTGATGGGGGTCTGACAGGTGCGAATAGACGTGCAGAAAGAGTTGTAAGCGGCGGGAAGACCGTTGAGGATGTAGTGTAGGATGTCTTCGCTATCGACCTGAGAGCTAGCTGCCGCTATGCCGTCTACTAGCCCTTTGATTTGGGCGAGGTAGGCTTGCATTGAGTTATCACCCATGGTGACATGGTGGAGGGAGTTCTTGAGCTGAATCACTCGAGACTGATTCGTCGGTTGGAGTCGGCTCTCCAGAGTGCTCCAGATCTCGTTGGCGGAGGAGAGAGTGAGAATGTAGGGTAATATGGAGGGAGAGATGGTAGAGTAGAGCGCGGAGATCAGGTTCTGGTCCATTAGCTTCCATAGTTTGTGGTCGGCGTGAGAGGGAGGTGGCGGGACTTGAGATCCGGTGAGGTAGCCGTCGAAGCCGTTAGCGGTGAATAGTTGGAGTGTCTGCGTCCTCCAGATGGCGTAGTTGCCGGCGCTCAACTGCGTAGTGACAATGTGCTTGATGTTGGACATGAGGAATTTCAGTGGAGCGGGGATGGTGAAGTCAGCCAATGAGGCGGCGAGCGAACTGGTGGTCGGTGCAGTGGTCTGATGGCTGGAAGCTTCTGGTTCGGTCATGGTGAGCGAGTGTCGTGAGGTTGTCTAAGCTCTGATACCATGTAAGAAGAGAATGTCCTTCAGAACAGGGGCTAACTACAGAGAGAAGGTGAGCATAGTAGATCAGGAGAAGTTTTTCATTTCATCCATAAAACCAGAGGTGAGCTATAATGTTTTATTTATAGGAAGAAGACACATCGGAATATTCTTTCCGTTAGGATCTCGGCGCCTGTCTCCGTCAGGTGAGTGGAGCTGCTGCAGTTAGGTGGCAGGTGTCGTGGGCACATGATGATGGTTGCTTACAAAAGATATATGTATAAGTTAGCCAAACAAAGAGATAAGAGTAGTAAGGATTTAGTTCAAGTGAAGTGTATTAAGGATGAAGATCAAAAAATAATTTTCTTAGAAGATGATATTCAACAAAGGTGGATGGTCTATTTTGCTAATTTTTTTAATGAAAATTGTGAAAATAAGATTGACTATAGTGACCTTAGCACCCTAAATGAAAATAAAGATTTTTATTTTTATCGGCGTATTAGTAAAATTGAAGTTAGAGAGGCTTTAAAAAAATGAAGGGTGGAAAAGCTGTTGGACCTGATGATATTCCAGTAGAGGTTTGAAAATGCTTAGGAGATAAAGGTATTTCATAGCTTACTAAACTTTTTAATACTATTTTGAAGACAAAAAAGATGTCAGATGAGTGGAGAATGAGTGTGTTAATTCTTATTTTTAAGAATAAAGGTGATGCACAAGATTGTGAGAATTATAGAGGAATTAAGTTAATGTGTCATACTTTAAAACTATGGGAGCGAGTTATGGAGCATAGGTTACGGCGTGATACTAATGTTTCTCAAAATCAATTTGGATTCATGCCGGGTAGGTCGACTATGGAAGTCATACATTTATTAAGAGATTTAATAGAGAAATATAGAGAATATAAGGAGGATCTACATATGATATTTATTGATTTAGAAAAAGCATATGATAAAGTTCCAAGAGAAGTGCTATCGAGAGTTCTTGAAAAGAAATGAGTTAATAATGCTTATATTCAAATCATTAATGATATGTATGCAGGAGCGATTACTTGTGTTCAAACACAAGGTGGTTTGACCAAGTATTTTCCTATCTCGGTTGGGTTACATCAAGGATCAGCCTTAAGCCCATATCTTTTTGCTTTAGTCATGGATGTTCTCACTAAACATTTGCAAGAGGATATGCCTTGGTGTATGCTTTTTGCTGATGATATTATTCTTGTTGATAAGACTAGAGAGGGAGTTGAAAGCAAACTTGAATTATGGAGGTCAACATTAGAGACTAAAGGTTTTCTCTTGAGTAGATATAAAATAGAATATATGGAGTGTAATTTTAGTAGTAGTAGACCTAGTGAGGGGATTGTGACTTTGGGCGATCAATTCATTAATAAGAGTACATGTTTTATATATCTTAGATCTATTATTCATAGTGATGGTGAAAAGATGGGGATATTATCAGCAGAATTCAAGTTGGATGTTGAAGTGGAGGAATGCATAGGGCTTGTTGTGTGATAGAAAGTATCCCTCAAACTTAAGAGAAAATTCTATAAGATGGTAGTGAGGCCTGCATTGCTTTATGGTGCTGAATGTTGGCCATTAAAAGAGAAGCATAATATTAAGTAAGTGTGGCGGACATGAGGATGCTCAGGTGAATGAGTGACTTTACCCTTAGAGATAGGATACAAAATGAGCATATACGTGAAAAGGTTGGAGTACCTCTAGTAGAAGATAAGATTTGAGAGAGTCGCCTTAGATGGTTTGGTCACATAAAACGGCGGCCTTCCAATGACCCGGTTAGGAGAGTAGAGGTATTAGATTTGACTTATGTTAAGAAAGGTAAAGGCAGATCTAAAAAGATT